CAAACTCGAAGCACAAGATGGTCTTGATGTGGCACTTGAGCATCGAAAGAGTGAATTGACCTCCAAGCCCTCCACCTAGATGCCTTCCAAGCTTCCCTTCTCATCCATCTTTTCACTTCAGGCCTGCTCTCCGGACATTGCTCCATCTCGCGACCTTCATTGTTGACAAATGAATGGGGAAAAGGTTTGGGAGAGGAAGAGTGACAGGATGAGATCACAGAAGCCCTTGACCTGTCTACCTCAAGAAAGGTCTCCAGTTTTGCGGTGCCTCCTCCCCTCAGCAATTCAGTCAGATGAGTCAATTCGCTGATAGCGCACGTGAAGTTATCGTCTTCCGTCTTGCTGTAATTGACCGCAATATCGTCGTCGGCGTGGACATATTGAGTCAAAGCCCGGACGTAGGATTTCAGAGTGTCGAAGAGGGCGGAAACAGTGATCTATTATTCATATTCCGAAGCAAGTCTACAACGTTACATGTAACAATGGTATTGAACCTGCCTATGTTGAAAGTGAAAATGTGAAGATGAGGAAGTTTGCGTGATACCATGATCGGAAAATTTCCGAACTATAGTACTGAAAATACACAGCCCTTTTAACGTGTACTTGTCTCCATTTTCTGGTATCTTAAATCTTTCGTAGCTCTATACTTGGCATCTGCTCACTCTTAATGCTTGTAGCCTTATATGTTTGGGAATATCGCCTTCTTTTTCGTCACCCTAGTTTCCGCAATAGAAACGAACTTATCAAGCTGGTAAAAGCTCATCTGCCACACAGATGAAGTTTGGCCAAACTCAACAAATGACCTGACGGTAGGCAATAACAAGTGAAGTTCTGCAATCTTTGTATCACCACAGTGTACCTAGCTTTGCTGGAGCTTTTATTTTGAATCTTCCACAAGAAGCAACCCACGACCATGAACATGATTGCCACAATCTGCGCATTCAACGAGAGATGATTTCGGGATGTGACGCCTAGAGTACCTATTAGAAATGTTGCATTTATTATGCAAAACTATCAAAAAAACAGACGTTTAAATTGGACTATAGCCTCTCTTCACTCGAGACTTCTGCGAAGCAATATGGCCTTCTCCCCATAGCCCTCAGGTTATTAAGGTATACCAACCCATCATGCTCAAGCCTGCATTGCCAAACTACTGGCATCTGGGATAAGAGCTTCCACAATCAGGTGTGAGAAAACCACGATTGATTCCCGGAGGGCAGTACTCAAACTCCATGCAGTCTCCCGATGACAAAGTGCAATGCTCCCCGTTGAACCTCTGGCCTTCGGGACATTGCGGCAAGGTCTGGCCCACGCATTCCTTGGAAGCAGCATCCCATGAAGTGTTGGTGGGACAGACGGGTTTCTGCTCAGATTCGCAAATCTTGCCATTGAAGTGAGTGCCCGGAGGGCAACTAGGTTCCACGGTGGCCGCACACCGCTCTCCGTCAAATTCTGTTCCAGGCTCACAGCTCGGAGTTCCACCGACGCAGACAGTTCCGTTAAAATGAGTGCCCAAGTCACATTCTGGTGTCTCATCGGAAATACACTCCTCCCCACTGAGGATGTATCCAGGAGGACAGGTCTTCTCCTCAGTATCCTGGCATCGGCCGCCACGCCACTGGTGACCGGGCGGGCAGTCCGGCGGGTCGATGCTGACGCAAGTGGTACCTTTCAAGACGAGGCCTTTTGGACAGGCAGGCGGGCCTCTGATACACTCGCCGCCGACAAGCGTCGTATCCTCGGGGCAGACTGGGCTTTGCCCGGTGACACATGCTCCGTCGCTCAGAGATGATCCCTTCGGACAGGTAGGCGGAGTGATTGATACGCAGCGTGAACCGTCGTAGATGGTATTCTCAGGGCAGCTTGGAGGGGGAACCCCTACTCGGGTGCAGTCAGTACCGTCGAAGTGGCTTCCGTCCTCACATTCTGGTCGGCCGCTGATAGCGCAGTCTCGTCCATTAAAGGTGGTTCCAGAGGGGCAGGAGGGTGGCTGAATGCTGATACACTCGTCACCCTGGACGTGAGTTTCCTCGGGGCAGACAGCTTCGCCCTTGTGAACGCAGTTCCCGTTGGATAGTGTCGTGCCGTCAGGGCAGATGGGTGGCTCTACGGAGATACAAGTGGTCCCATCGCGAGCCGAGCCAGGAGGACACCCTGGTGGTGTTATAGAGATGCATCGGGCGCAGTCCAACTTGAATCCGGGAGGACATGATGGGGGAAAGACCGTGATAGCCGTGCACCTGTTGCCGACCTGTTTCGCTCCTGCCGGACATCCTTCAGGAGGGACTTTGTATGAGCAGATGTCTCCATCCCACCTTAGGGGAGGTGGGCAACACCGTGAAGTGCCTGAAGCCTGGTCGGCAGACAACTCCGTCCCAGGTGAGCAGGCAGGCTTGTCTTGGGAAACGCATTTCGTGTCTTCTAGGGTATCGCCAGGGGGACACGATGGCGGTGTCTTCATGATGCAGGTGTTTCTCTTAACGCTGAACCTTGTTCCGATTGGGCATTCGGGGCCACCATCACTGATGCAGTTGCCTCCTTTGGAGAAAGTGCCTACTGGACATTGAGGAGGCTGACGATGGCTGCAAACATTGTTGATTTCGTCGTATTCGCTGCCGGCGGGACAACTGGGTGATATGATACTGATGCATACTCCGTCGGAAAGATTCGTGTTGTCAGGGCATACTGGTGAGGTGGAACTGACGCAACCTTTGCCGTTAAACCGATCGCCATTGCCGCAGATGGGCAACTTGGTCGAGACACAGATTTTGTCGGCCAACTCTGTGCCAGAAGGACACTTTGGTGGGATTTCTAAGACACAAGCCTTGTCTTTCAGGATCGACGGGGAAGGGCAAGATGGTGGAGTGCTCGTGATGCAGACAAGCCCATTGAAGGTCTCACCATCCCGGCAGATGGGGCCCGTGATAGAGATGCAGTGACTACCTCTGAGTTTTGTGCCGTCTGGGCATCTTGGAACGCCAAGGACGCAAGAGTTGCCATCAAATAAGGTCCCTTCCGGACAACACTTGACACGGCCGGACTCTGGATCGGTGTGAGGCTTGATTGCGTCCAGAGTCCATTTGTTGCGGACTGCCGACCCAAGTGGTATTTGGTCAGCTACTGCCTGGAGGGCAAAGAGAAAAGAAATGAGCCTCGCTTGGGAAGCGACCATTGTGATAAATTTTGAAAAGTTCAACACTGGAGCTTGATAGATGCTTGTTGAGAATAGAAAAAGAGTGGTTTTGATTGCGTGATACTCTTCTTATACACGTCGCGGAATGGAACGATATCGAGAGTTGTAGACAAGGCGGGAGATTGCATCTGTCAAGACCAGCAAGCCGTCCACATAGCAATGTTCTCAACTCCCTTTACAACAGCTGAGGAGTGAACCGGCGCATTTCTCTTGCAAAGTATACGTCATGATCCGCAATCTTTCTCATCCGGGCCTCCCTGTTTCCGCAAACGTTATGTGGTTTTCTACCGCTGAGAAGGGCTCTCTTGGAAGTAATCTTCAAGAGTTGACCCCTTCTCGAGATCAATGCCCAGTCAAGAAATATTTGGAGCTAGAGAGACACAGTGTAAAGGCAAGAAGCAACTCTGAAGGCCCTTAGAGTCTGAGACCATTAAGCCACAGTCTTACTGCATGGAGGTTGTGGAAGAATTTGCTTTTGTGGAACATGATCAAATGCATTCGGTACCAAAAGCGACTGGACTTCAACATCGCTAGTCCAACAGGGTGACTTGCTAATCAGGTTGGTTCAATAGCCATGTCGATCTTCAGCGTCGCTTTCGAGAAGCCGATACAAGTCGGAATTCTTTCCGTCGAACATGATTCGTTGAGATAATGGTAAAAGTTGCTGTGGACGTACTCGCTTGTCCGCTGTGGCAGTGGCTGTGCGGGCAAGACACTTTTGTCGGGTAGATCATCTATCTCGATAAGGGATCTACCGAGACATGATTATTCGAGCAGGTCCCGACAGTGCCTACGGCCGTGTTTCAAGCTCTTGAGACCAAACAATCCGTGATGAACTTGGTCTAATTTGGTTTACCATTTCGCAACGTCTGAGCTCCGCCGATGTTTGCAGAGCGCAGCAGACATCCAGCATTCTCATTGGCAGTTGCTTGTGTTCGACATTGTTCGAAGCCATGGATTTGGTTCACAGATCTCGGGAGATTCGTCGATGGAATGTCTTTCAAACGGCCGCGTAGATAGTAGATCGTTTCTGAGAGCGTATGATATCGCCGGTTTGGAACGAAGCTGCGGGGTACTTTGAGACAATGTTAAGGAACGGGACGATCCAGTTGCCCGGCTATCGACTTGAACTAACCGCATGCCTCACGAATCACTGCCCACCTCAGACAGCTCTAAGATCCCCGACAAGCCATCTGTGAGACAGTCAGGCTATCCTTCAGCGAATTAGCGTGTACGGACAGCTGGGAGAGTCGCACCCGCTCAAGAGCTACAGTTTGCAGGAGCTCTCAGTGGAATTCCGGAAACAGCAGTTTCAAAAACCTCAATCTTTCAGTGACATCATCGTGAGTGCGTTAAACAATATCAATGCTCTATGAACTTCCGGATGTGGATTCAAGTTTCTCGAATAATGGGTTTGGAGCTCACGCGTGAAGCTAAAAGCTTACGTCCTACCATGCAGGCTTCAGGTGTGCCGGCTGGTTGGACAGTCGGACATTTCGGAAGTTAAGTTATGCTGTGATGGCGATCGTAACTCAACGCAAACTATCGTGGCGTTTGAGAATCCGTCTCGATGAAGAGACAGTCATGAATTCAGTAAGACTAATAGTATTGGCTGCATTCATTATTTCATTGCTGTGGCGGCCTACCAAACGATTAGTCTATTATTCTCAATGACAACCAATCGGAGATTTGATACCTCAATTCCCACCAACGTTAGTCTGAGAAATTGGTAAGGCAAGAAGCAATTTCCAATGTAGTGTAATACAAGGTGATGCGTCCATTTAGTCGGTTTCTTCGAACACGAACTCGGCACGTGAGAAGCCGATCTATCTCTCCGAAAGGGTATTGCTGTGTCTTTAGATTGGAGAGAACTTTATGTTTATTAGGTGACTCACGAGTGTCGCTGTGAACACTTCTGATATTGTTTCCAAAAGAATAAATTCGACCATTTGTACAAACTCGTTGGAGACCTGCTCAAACGCATTGAGAATCCGTCTTATTTTTTCGGCTTGACTTGCATAGGTCGATTCAACTCTACTCAATCCCGAAAACTTCTGTTATATGCTCCGCTACTATGCACTCATCTTTGATTACACTCATTCTTGCTCCAAGCATCATCGGGGTCTTGGCAGCTGAGCAGGCGCCCCTCACTGGCGACAACGGCAGCTGTCTTTCATCCCCAAGCTACAAGTCATGTTGCCCTACACAAACGTCTTCTGGAAAGGGTGTCATCAGTGACAGCACATTCGAATATACCTGTGCATCCTGGCCATCGAACTCTTACAAGGCTACGATCATATCTCGTACGCCTGCTCATTGCGCCCAGGCATGCGCCCAGGATCCGCAGTGTGTTGCAGCAGCCTGGATCAAAGGGAAATGTTATATAAGCACGAACGCTGCCTTTAAGCCCGTCACTAATGAGATGACCGAGTCCATACTCCTCGTTAAGACGGACGATGCTTTCGATGGTTCCACATCAGGCGGGGCTGGCCACCAGAACGCAGCCGAGTGCGAGAAAGAGAACGACGCCATTCGGAGCCAGATGACATCTCAGTGCGACAGCGACAAGCAAAGGCTTCAGACTAGCTGCAAAGATGATGTCCGGAAGGCGGAGGAGAGTTGCAATCAAGAAAAGACGGCACTTGAGACGAAGGTGGCCACGCTTGCACAGGAGAAAACGCAGTGCGAAGCCGACAAGGCGCGAGAGCTTACCGATGCTAGAACGCAATGCGATGCAGAAAAGTCTCGAGAGCTTACCGATGCCAAAACGCAGTGCGATGCCTCGAAGTCCGCCATCGAACAGCAACTACAACAATGCCAAAATCAACAAGGCCAGAGCCAGAACAATCAGCAAGAGTCTCCGCAACAAGCCGAGTGCAAGAGCACGTCGTGGCAAGGCATGTGTGGCAGCAGACAGTGCGCAGACAGATTCTCCGTCGATGGTGTCGAGTATGAGCGAAAGTGCGGCGTTGCCACAGGTAACACAAGACAGAAGCTAATCTCGACTGCTGTTTACCGTACGCCGTGGGACTGTTTGAAGTCTGAATGTAACGGAGTTCCGAACTGCATGGGTATTGGTTGGACTATAGCGTTTGTAAGTCTCTTACTCTGGCTCCAGATCCATCGTTCCCAAGGGTCAACTTGGAAATATATGTGTGCTAACGGCCTTGGTGTGAAATAGAATCTGTGCCACGTTCACCTCCATGCGAACACTGTAGGAAAGGTTCTGAAACCCTACCCTCACCACCACGCTCTGTTTAAGGTTGACTGGAAACAACCATTCTGAGGATGTTGTGGCTTTTCAAGGAAGTTCTAGAGGGGATATCCCCTTGGTTTCAATGGGCAATGGCAGCATTCAGCCAGAGCAGCAAGCATCTTTAAGGCCATAGGTGCTGTCAAAGACATCGAGCAAAGGTTTCTGCCCATTACACGATTCCTTTTTGACGTGTATTTAATCAGTTTTCTGCAACTTGATTAGGTCTTTGTTTCAATATTTTCCATCCTGGAAACGCCCAGCCGCGCTTCTTGCTGATATATCTAGATCGGGCATATGTAGAGGCTGCTTCTCTTGATGAGATAAGGTAGGCCAAGTGATCCTCTGCTGACCAAAGGACTGAGCAGCAATTGCCCAAGGAAGAGGCTGTCATGAGACTGAGGTAGACTAAGTCCTGAGAAGCAACGAAGCATTCAATTTGATCTCATTCTCTTCGTAAATAAATTCATTCTGTACCCTCAACAGCTCAACTGAACAGCTCAACTGAGAATTTTCGAGTCCGCATGAGACACCTAAAGGTTCTCTACTACAACGCCGCGTAGGAGAGAATCGCCAAACTTGAATAAATCATCCAAAACACCCCAAATCGAGTATTTACCATCATGTTGAGAAATCACGGTGTTGTAGCGTCAGGCTTAGCACCAGGTAGCATCATGCGAAATGTCCAACCCTGAGCTTCATAGACCTCGCGCGTGACCTTCTTGAGCCACACAGTCGGCACGATCGGAAGCCAAAATTCGCACGTCTCAGTCTTGAGTATCTCCGACCCAGCAGCCCAAGACGCTGAGGCGCCTACTGCATCGCCGGCGGCAAGCTGTGCGTGGCCCAGGGACAAATGTATCGTCGCCGCCGTGAAGCCGGCTTCAGCTTTGAGGGCGTGCATACGCTGAATCTCTTGCAGGGCATATCTCCATCGCGTAACAGCGACGTTCTTATCCGACCTAAAGTGGGCTATCCGAGCTACAGCGAGGACAGCACGCATGTGTAGCTGCTGATCAAAGAGCGTGTCTATACCAATCGGTGTGGCATGTTGCGTCTCGAGCTCCCTAAGTAGTAGTTCCGCTGCGTCGAGGTTTCCGAGCCCGATATTAAACTCTGCCGATGAAAGTAACAGACGAGGATAGGCCCTACGTGATAGTTCGGGCTTATTCGAGCTACTCAGCTCTGGCCGAAGAATCTCGGCCGCTTTGGAGTATTCTTCCATCTCGCAATACATGTCGGCAAGTCTGCTCACCAACAGTCGGCGTGTGTTCCCACGTAGCGGTTTTGTCATGTCAAGAGAGAGAGTCTGTTCGAGGGAAGCCCTTGCTGCGGCAAAATTTCCAATGGATTGGAAGAAACGCGCTGCTGTGCTCTGGAGGCGGAATGTCACCTCGGTATCTAGAGTCGAGAGCGGTAATTCTGCCTTCCATTCATAGATGAGAAGTGAGACGTCATCGTCGGTGCACTTGATCTTGTTCTCCATCTGAGATATGTGAAGTCGTCCATGGAGTGAGTGGTCCCGCCGAGTAACGGGCCGCGGGCCACGCCATACAAAGTCGCGTATGTGGGCCTCTGACTTTGTGAACTCTCCATCATTGCGGTAAAGAACGCTGCGGAAGAGCACAACCGTAGCGTGGAGATAGTAAGGCATAGACTTTCGCAACAATGATCTAGCCCTGTCCACAGCAACATGGCGCATGGCAACCGAATCCCTTTCGCAGAAGAAGAGAATAGCCTCGAGGACTTGTGTTCTAAGCGGTGTTGGGACTTTGTACGCTCTATTTGTCTTCTCAACGATAGGCCAGGCGGCCAATTTGAGTGGTTCAGACCTGGATGATGAATTGTCAGTAGGGAAGTCCCCAGATCAGGTGTCAATGTGTCATCGGTCAGAATTAGGCCATACCAGTCCGTATTGCCCTCGTAACATGGTGGACAAACAAAGCAAAGCACCTTCAGAGCGACTGCCCCTAGTTCTTCTACAGTCCTTGGTCGTAAGACGCGGGACAGGAAAACAGAAAATTCGGGGCATAACGACAAAGCCAGGGTGTCGTTATCCAACCTGCGTTTAATGATATTAGGGCTCTCTATGGCACATGAATACTCAACATCATCGGAAATGAGTTTGACAAGCTCGGTCGAAAGTCCAAACTTGGAAGCATCGACTGCATCTATTTCTCCGTCGGCATTCCATCGGCGCTGCTGTCTTCGAACACCTTTCAGAAGGACCTCGGGGATTTCAACTGCGCCGAACGCTTGAAGTAAGAGTAGCAGCTGATCCGCTGCTGGTATCAACTCTGAATAGTCGACAAAGAGATTATAGTAAGATGATTTCAAAGATGGATCTGCGGCCTTGGATGAGTTTGATATAAGCCTTGGGAGGGAAAACACGAGGCAGCTCACCACGTAGCTGACTTAGAATGAGACGTTGTACTACGTCCGCGTGATCCGTGACTTGCGGAGCGAGAGATATTAAATGATTAAAGACTTCCTCATCATCTATGTTCAGGTATCGCTCATAACTTCCCGGCATAAGTCAGTTTTGCAGATACCTACATGGGCAGTGCACACTCTTGAGTCTTACGTGGAGGGCGGAATGTCTAAAGGAAGCCAAAGAATCGATCCAAGACCACCCAGCTTTCGGGCGATTTGAATATACTTCCTTCCAGAATTTCGAATATCCGCATAGTTCGTTTGGCCGTGAAATGGCTTGGCGATATGTGGTGGCACCGAGGCTTCAGGATCCAACTTGGATCTCAAGAATATTACTATGCAAGCCAACCGGCGACGCAAGTCGGCATTGACACGGTCATCAGAGGCTACCCAAAAGCCATCGACGTTTTCGCTGAAGACCTCGTAAATCTGCTTGACGGGCGCCAGGTCAATCGAGTCCACGGACAGGGCCTTGTTCGTACGCTGGTTGCGTGGCGTGATCTGATACTGCACATCCCGGGACAGTGCCTTTGACTTTGCCAGGAGTCGGCGGACGTCCTCGAGGTGGCTATTGAGGGCAGGGATCAACTCTCTAGCTCGCTCTTCGTCATATTGCTTGGATAGAAGCCGAATCGAGCTACAGAGACATATAGAGTTATCCATCGCGCGGCGAGTCGGAGCATTTGATGGCGACTTGTGCGAGAGAGGCAATGTCACCCCCCTTTCATGCAGAATTTGAGCTCCACTCGTGCATCTCGGCTTTGGTCGGATTTGCGGAGAACCGACCCGCACTAGGAGTTATCAATCAACTAACCCTTGACCTCTGCCCACATTTACTGACAGAGACAGTTAGACTGCGATTCATTTAGTTCTTTATCAGCTTATCAGATCATGGCGGATTCCGTGAGTCCGCCGAGCACCGGAAGCATGGTTCGGAGATGCTGCTTCGGAGCACTTAAACGCTGAGAATACTATGGACGGGTGAACAGGAGATCCACTTCGAGACTTTCCGAATGTTCACTCTAAGAACTTCCTACATCATTTACTGACTATTCTGAATGATCAACAATGTAGGTATCTGGTCGCACGCTCCCCAACTTATTCCCCGTTGCAAAGTCTTCCCACCATTTTGGCCAAGTTGTTCAACACTCATCTGTGAAATTAGCTGCGCCTCAACCGTGATCTATGCCTCATTCTAAGAGTCAGCGAGGTCCTGTTGCGAATAATCATACAATAAGAACTTAAAGCACCTCGCTCGGATTTCTCGTTCCAGACACAAGGAAAAGGCTTCGCAGTATCACTACACAGAATCGTGAATAAGACCGTACGCTCGGGTTGCTTGTAACTTGAACTTGGAAGACTTCATGATCTGAAGCATTATGATTCCTTGAATGTGACAACAGTCTTGCAATACAGTTGAGGTATCAACATCAGTACCCGGCCGCAGTTCAAATCAGCCAAGAATATTCTTCAATATCCATAGTCCTGAATCCTGAGCTGTGATTTCGACCTCGGGCCTAAACAGATGATCGTTGTCTCACTAATTAGCATAACAAGTTGAGCAGGCTAACGCCACAAGCTCACCGAGTCCGATGCCGGTAGTCATTCTGACCCCCCTTCGTTGCGTTGTTCTCCACTTCGCCTGCCATCGAGAGGTGTTTGCTCACCGTGAGAAATCTGCAGCATTTTACACCCCTGTCGTCTTGGTTTCCACCATCGAGGCTTTTCTCACCGTGAGAGAACGCTCGATGTTAATTACCCTGCAGCTTTGGGGTAACCCAGCTTAAAGATGGGATTTTGTCAGCTGTCAGTGTCCAGACTGGGACTTCCTAAGCTGTCTTACATAGAACGGCCAGCTGGCCAGCTCACGTGTCAAAACATTTGTCTCTCAAGCGACCGCGTGGCTCACTGCCTGTGGGCCCTCCGAAAATCTCTTTGGTGAATAATCTTATCAATCTTATCAATCTTTCCCATGTTCATCTTATCAATCAGCGCACATCTCCCGTTTCGTGACTCGATGTGCCTGCGCGATCGTTCTACCTCGGTCTCACCACATCCGTCTCCTCAACCATCCTCACCAACAAGATGGTGCAAGCATTCAAGAGCCCGAAGCAGAAAGCTAATGAGGATACTTTACATTTCTACGTCGCGTTTCTTTTTGGTCTCGTGTTTTTGACCTTCGTAGCCTATTGGCTACGCGAGGCTTCCAACAAGAACCCATGTTCTAAATCAGCTCAAGGGCTAAAGGGCCCCGGGCGCCAGGCATGCGTTGACTTCTTCCGGTATGTGGGAACACGCCTTGTCGGCCCAACACTTAGATGCTAATGAGGCTCTTAGACAGCTGGAGAGACGTGTGGATTGGGGATGGTTTGGAAGGCCCTCTTTCGGGTTCATCGCGATGGTCGGGGTCTACATCGTCGTCAACGTCACTTTATGCTCGACCAACATCGTCATGAGGCGCCTACTCAATCATTGGGCGTCTAGGTTTGGATGGTGACTCTCTCTCGTACTCTTTAAGTCTTTTTGCATCGACTGAAATGTTCCAGGATGTGTGCCGCAAACATGACGCTATGCATCTTTTTCGGAATGAAGAATACACCATTGACTCCAATGGTGGGAGTATCACATGCACAGCTCAATATCCTACACCGAATTGTGGGGTATACTGCCGTCCTGTTGCTAGCTCTGCACGCCATCTTCTACACGATGCACTTCCATCGCTATGGCAAGCTGGCAAGCTTGCTGAAGCCCGAAGACTTAGCTGGTATCGGCGCCGCGATCGGAATGATCATTCTATTCCTCGGCATCCTGAGACACAGGAACTACGAGCTCTTTTACATTAGTCACATTGCTGGCTTCGCAGCCGCCGTCATCTTGACGGGGCTGCATCGACCAAACTGGGCAAAGAGAATACCAGCTTTGATGAGCTTTTCGTTCGGACTTTGGCTACTAGATCGTACCATCAGAGCCTCCAGGATGCTTTACAATCTCATCAACAACTCTGTCACCTTCTATCCGCTCCCGGATGGAGGAACCCGCCTGCTTCTCAAAAAGCCAGGTCTCCAAGCTGCCTCACCCGGGACTCATATCTTCCTCTGGATCCCGCGGGTCCATATCTATGAGAATCACCCATTCACAATCGTTAATAATGGCCCCTCTGGCTTGGAGGTTGTGATGAAATCTCACCAAGGATTTACCAAAGCTGTCAGCAACTTTATCACATGCCATCCTCGTTCTACGGCGTGGGCATCGATTGATGGGCCGTACGGTGTATGTCCCAACATGGACAACTACGATAAATTGATCTTTATCGCTGGTGGGAGTGGAGCGGCCTTCACGTTTGGCCTCATGAATCGGATCCTTGGACAGTCTGAAAGACCTAAGCTTCAGTCTGTCGAGTTTGTGTGGACTGTCAGACGTATAGGTGAGTTGTATTGCATACTCTTTTTTCGGTGGGTTTTCCTAATGCGGCGATAGAGCATCTCAAGTGGTTCTCCGAGCATCTGAACAACCTCATGAAGATAGGACCGGCCGTCAGAGTATCACTCTTTGTCACAAACGAAGAGGCGACATCAAGCTCAATAGCCACGCCATACGATATTGCTCACGATGTTGAAAGTCAGCTACTGTCTGGGACCAGAGCGCCGGGTTATGGAGCCGTATCGAGCGCCGACGATACAAGTAGTCTGCTTGCCCGAACAAACGGCCATGAAGTCGAGCAGGCTTATAACCTCCATTTTAAAAGGATGGACATAGAATCAGTTATCAGTGATGCCATGCAGTTTGTTGAGAGTCGCCAAAGGGTTTTGATGGCCACTTGCGGCCCAGAATCGTTGATGGAAGCTGTAAGGGATTCAGCGGAAAGTTGGCGGAAGAGGCGAGACCTTCGAATAGACGTACACTCTGAAGACTTTTAGACGGGGGACTAGAGATATCAAGCTAGACTTCAGATCATTAGCGATAAATTGCAAGCTTCTTTCACTTCCACACAAGACGCTATTACTTGCCAAAAGAGTGACAGGGCAAATCTCACGAGGGGTAAATAAGGCATCCGTCCCAGGAAACCCAAAGCCCCTGCTGTCAGCCGGCGCAATGCCACCCAAGATGCGCCCACATGTCTAAAAAGCCGCCCATGCCCATCATAAATGGGTCGCGTTGGGGCGCTTGCATTAGTGCACTTTGCCAGGATCCAATGTGTGTGGAGCCAAACCGACGCCGAGCCACGGTCTTGGCAGTTTATCTGATTTACGAACAAAGATTGATAAAACCTGATCCTTTTGCGCCTCTTCGGCGGTAAACTTTTGGCTTTTTCATGCTCAATTCTCTCGACTTTTCCCTGTTCTCTCCTAAGCCACTTGTTGCTGCGATTTGCAATGATCTCCAAGGATCCAGTCGAGCAGCCTCTGCCCGTTGCGGATGGCGATGACAACGTCTCCCCAACACGGTCCGAGACCGACGAGAAGGGCATCGCAGACGCTACGACATATCCCTCTGATGAAACTGAATCAGTCAGAGACTTCCCATGGACGTGGAAGGCTACCGCTCTCATCTGTGGTGTTGCCCTCTCCTGGGGCTCGTCTTTCTCCGAGAACACCCTTGGCCCTCTCAAGAGCACTTTGATCAAGAATCTGGATATCAACAACTCTCAGGTAAGGTTTGGAAGTCAAAGTCTTACAGAGAAAGACCTATACTGACTCTTTCTAGTACGGAGCTATTTCTTCAGCCACATCGCTTGTGAACACCGTTCTTCCAATTCTGGGGGGTTACGGGCTCGACCACTATGGCGTTGAATGGTAGGCTCCAGTCAAATTTTTGACTCTGTTGGAGGAGAATAAACAGCATAAGACCTTTGTTCGCTAACGGGATATCAATAGGGGGTCTTTGGCGTGCTCAGTCGCAATCTTCATCGGCGCGGTGATATCGGCGGCTGGCTCCAACCAGGATTCATTTGCTCTAGTAGTCGCTGGCCGAGTGATCATGGGCTTTGGAAGCACTGTTATCGAGACATGCACATCTAAGGTCGGTTTTGCTTGAGTATTATGACGTTGTCAAACTTTGACCACGGACCAGGCTAACGACGGTTGAAGATCTTGGCCCATTGGTTCCAGCACAAGGGACTCGGTTTGGTGTACGGCTTAGATCTGTCGATCGGTAGGTTTCTGCGATTACATGTACACGACATGATGCTTCAGAGGCACAGATACTGATGTTTTGTCTGGATTCAGGAAAACTCATCGTACTCATTGCGAAAGCCACCGCGGTCCCGATGCGAGATGCTACTTCATTCTGGGGCTGGGCGCTCTGGATCCCCGCCATCGTGTGTTTCGCCAACCTTTTGCAAAACATCTTCTACGTCTGGTGGGTCTGGACACGTCCAGCCTGGACGCGTATGCCCACAGGCCAGGAGCGAGCCAGGGAGATCACTCGCCGTGAACGTCTGCAGGCTGGTAACACCGAAGTTGCCACTACCAACACCAGCAAGAGTACCCGCACATTGCGAGCTTTTCCTGACTGGAGTTCCCTCCTCCACGTCCCTCGCTTCTTCTGGCTCGTTGCCTGCACACAAATTCTCCAAGCTGGTGTGGTAGGCGGATTCAACGGTCTCAATGCCGACATCATTACTGAGACTCGAGGTTCCACCGCTCAGCTTGCCGGATACACATCCGCAGTGCAACAGGTCATCCCTGTCATCTGCGCACCATTGATCGGCTCTTACTTTGACATCTTCGGTCACAGGATGGTGTTTGTGAGTGTCACATCAGCCATTTGGATTCTGGTGTATTGCCTCATTGGATACACCCAGACGAACGCTCTTGGCTCCATGGTCATCGCATCTGTGGCTTCGACGATGAATGCTCTTCCCTTCTTGGCGTCGATTCCTCTCATCGTCCCTGACCAGCTTGAACTTGGCCTGGTATTCGGAATCTGGAAAGTTTTCAATAATGCTGGAAGCGTCATCGTGGACATGATTGCCGGAAGATTGCAAGACATCACCCCTGGGGGCACATATGAGCGTGTCATCGCCTTCTTTGTGGCTGTCAAGGGTCTGGAGTTCTGTCTCGGCCTGTTCTACGGGATCTTGGACCGAAAGTAAGTTGAAGTTGCTGAAACATGATTTGCACTCATATCGTTTACTGATATTCTTGTCTAGGTATCTTTCGGGAATTCTTAGCATCAACAACAAGAGGCGCATGGGACTTGAGAAAGAGGGCAAGCTTGAGGACTGCGTTGGGCGTAAGCCATCTAAGGTATACACTGCAGTAGGCATTGGTCTGGTCTGCTCGCTGATCATTATTGCCTGGGTATTGTTCATTAAGTACTCCATTTGATGTTTTTGTATTGATTCGATGTCAAAAATGACAGTATTTAGCCTTGCATACCGGACAGGCTGCGGTATCGCATTCAGGGCAGCGGAATGAAAATTTTGCTCTTTTCTCGCAGCAGAACGTGCAGATTGCTTCCCCTTTCTTCCGAGGCCAGCCGTACCTCGGATGGTCACACTTCTCTTCTCCTTTGACAGGATTGAAACACTACGAAGTCGCGTTTGCGTCCCGCTTATCCGCCGCTTCTCTCATCTTAGCCCAGTGCCCACGAACAAAGCCCAGCTTCTCTTCAATAATCAACATCTTGAGCCGCTCTTGTGCGGTTTTTTCCAGTTGCTCCTGCGCTTTCTCTGCGGCTTCTCTGCTTTTTCTTTCGGCCTCCACTTCTCTCTGTCGACGCAGTTGCTCCTTGGCAGCGCGTTCCTGTCGACGCTTGAGTTCTCTGGCTTTCTCTTCCTGTTGACAAACCCTTTCCTTGGCGTCTTGTTCTTGTTGTTCTCTAGCTTTTCGTGCTGCATCTTTCGACCGCAGCTCCGCAAGATCCTCTCTCATCTGTCTCAGTCTCTCTTTTGCTTCCCTTTTTCTTCTTTCAAGATCTTCCCTTTCCCGGCGCTGAGCCTCGTGCTCTCGGGCTCTCCGTTTCCATTCTTCATCCTCGGCGTCTTTCCTAATTATTTCAGCCATCTCTTCCGCAGCCTTTCGAGCCTCATCTTGTCTACGAGCCCGTTCAGCCTCGTCAGCTTGCCTCTGCCTTTCTTCCTCTCTGGCTCGTTCTTGTCGTTTTCGTCTGCACTCTTCATCCTGCTATTCTCTCCACTGCTCTTTGACGCTCTCATAATATGTGTCGTATCGACTGCGTTTCGATGAGTCTCGAAGAAATTCGTATGCCTCTTGTATCTGAACCTTTGTAAATCAATGTCAGTCTATGATTCAATATGCATCGAGTGTTGATGTAGCTTGTGATACACGCCCTAAGGACTTACTATGCGGAACTTTTCGCTGCCAGCTTTTGCTCCTGGCGGCTGTTTATCCGGATGATGCTTGATTGCTAACACTCGATACGCGCGCCGTATAGCCTGCGCCGTTGCCGACTATTGGATGCATAAGTCTGCGCAGTAGTCTCGTATTGTGGGAGGGTCCATTCGATGCAGTATAAGGATGGGCGAGACTTCAACGACATGGAGACTGCAGCCTCCTGTTCAAACTTCCGAGCAGACCGCTTTTGAATGCCTTGGCCCATCTTTTGCCTTAACAATTGGGTATTGGCTGCCGGCCTGATAGAGAGCCTAATCTCGATGGTATGGCCTATTTGGGGTTATAACTCGCTGCCTCATCATGCAGCATGCAGGAGGCCGCAAACTACAACTCAAAATAATCTCGCCCTTATATTCTAAGAAATTCGTTGGTGTTTATCCATCTCAACAAGAGAGAGATACTCAAAAGGAACTATTACTCAATCCCCAGGACTATTAGCAGTGATCGGAGTCCTGCAGTGTACTTTAATTACAAATATGCAGACATGTATTTAGCTATGATGAGAGAACTAAGTTTGCATCATAATGAGACTTTTTGGTCACTCGAGAAATCTCCAAATGACTCAAAGCGTGTATCGGAAGTCGGGATGTCTATCGCCCTTCTTTCCTTGGTCAATCTCTCGTGACCTCTCATCGATATCCATGTTCTCCCTCTTATTGTTGATTCTGTTCAGCAAAGTCCACATGGTAAAGTACCCGACCGACGCAATCGTAATGGTGCAGATAGAGACCGCATGACCAATCGTGTATCTTCCGTCCGAAGTAGTGATGCGGTAGATCTGTCCAGCCATGATGCCAGCACTGTTTCCGATGGTCTGTTGCAGGCCAATCGCCGTGGCACGCTTGAAGTATCCAGCGTTACTATTCGAAATCCACGTGACATTGAGCCCGACAACACAGTAGATACCCGTCGCCGTGACGAAAGTCGCAAAGTACAGGACCGAAGTTGACTTCATGCTTACACCAAGCATGAGAGCATAACCCGTGGCGGTGATTAAAGCCATCGGGACCATGAAAACAGCACGCTTGTTGATCTTATCCGAGATGTAGGCAATGGTGAGGTAGACTGCCGATGCCCAGATGTAGACCGGCACGGTAAGGAGCTGGGTTTTGATGCTGCTGTATCCAAACCCGCGGATGATGACTGGCAAGAAAGTTCCGAAGCCGAAGGAGCAGGTATTCGCGCAGAATTGGCAGCCAGCTGACAGCCAAACCTTGGGATCTTTGAATGCGAGTTTGACTTCTTGCTTATCGAACGTCTCTGACTCGCCCTGGTAGACCCTAGACTGCTCAGCTCGGATGCGCATCAGCGCCTTGTCCTCTTCGGTAAGCCATCTAGCCGACTCGAAGCTATCAGGAAGCAGGAGGATGAAGGCCAAACCAACCGCCACGGAGATGACACCTTCAATGAGAAAAAGCCATCTCCATCCAGCCAAGCCGCTTGCACCGTGCAAGCTTGTCAGTCCATAGGCCAAAAGACCGCCAAAGGCACCAGACAACGCAGACGCAACAAAAAGGTATGAAATTCTTCGAGCTTGCTCCTCGCGCTTGTAGTACGTGCTGAGGTAGAGCGTCAGGCACGGGAAAAGACCACTCTCAAAGACGCCAATGAGGAGACGAGTTGCGAGAAGACCGGCATAGTTGGTGACAAAGGCCGAACCGATGACTGTTGCGCTCCAGGACAGGATGAAGAATGGGATAAGTCGGCTCGGCCGTGCTTTCTTGAGAATTAGGGATGCCGGGATTTCGAAGGTGATATAAGTCACTGATGTCCGTGTTAGCCAGTATTATTCACGCGCAGAACAGGGTGTGTCATCCTACCATAGAACACAGTAACAGCGACATTCAGCTTGTTGCCCGTGAGGCTCAAGTCCTCTGTCATGCCTGCAATCGCGGCGTTGCCTAGATCCAGACCCAATTAGATTCGGTTGATTGGAGTAAACCTGTGAGTTAAGAGTTGCGTACCGATGTTACTGCGATCGAGGTAAGCGACTAAGAAAGCAATGATCATCATTGGCGAGAGCCATGCGTCCAATTTTTTTAGGAGGCGCTTTTCCGCAGCCGGGTCGATCGTGAGGTCGGAGCTCGCGGCTGCCGAATGGGGCTCGATATCACCATCTTTGGCGTCCATTGGCATCTTTTCCGAAGACATTGTTCTATGGCTGGCGGTTGTTGAATGTCTTCAGTTGATCAAGCGAATTGATGCAGATATGTTGCGACTCTGTCTTGAGCTGACGACATGTCCATACGACTAGTCATAGTATCCCTCAAAGGGCATATATCTACCTTATGCAAAAGATGCATCACAGAGGCACGGTGAGGTCACTGCATTCGCCTATCAACCAAAGTCGGCTTTCGACCGACACACATGGCTAGGCATCGGGAAATTGGCAAGCTTATCGTCGCATCGAAAGACCATCCCTGTGGTCTAGCGGGGGCAAAGCCGGGGAATGTAGGATTCTTATCTCTTAGTCCGCGAATAGCCTAGAAGCGCCGAACCTTTCCTTTCAGCAAAATGTGGAGAGACTGATAGCCAAGTCTCTTTGCCCATTTGAATACCCCGACATCGCCCTCTGGTTCGTACAAAAGGGGCCTATTTCCCGATCTCGCAAGCACGCGACAATACTCCGGCAGACAGTCCGAGCATCCTCTCAATGGATACCTCAACGCCCAGGGCGACCAATCCGAAAAGTCCGATTATTCGCAAAAGGAAGCGAGGTAGGCATGCGGTTGCGTGCGAGTCGTGTCATCGGCGAAAGCAGAGAGTGAGTGAGCTTGCAGTCTCATTTTCATTTTGGCACGATACGATGGTCTCGTCGAAGCCATCTCTTCATTTCCCGACAGCCTACATGAAGCACCATTACGCTGAGACTTCATTTTGAGTAGTCTTGGTGCAAACATAATCGACGGCGCCAATGCTGAACTCAATTTGACGACGGCTTGCGGAGCTTCCTCAGACTCTGTACCAAATTCTATCATCTCACTGACTTCACTTCATCAGTGCAATGGTTCGCGACCATGTTTCAACTGTGAAAGACGAGGAGTGGGCTCGTCGTGCTCCTATAGTCACTTAGTCGAAGACGATGATGGCCCAAGAGTGTCTCAAGGCCATCGCGACCCTCCCATGACTTCGCCGATCGCCAACTTGGCAACCCCAGTCTCACCTCCTTCCATGAATGCAATCCCTGCACAAAATGCTGAGCAACCTGGTAGCTCCTCGGGTTCCAGGACCTTCCCATCAAGATCTTCAAGTCGTGGCGGAGGACGGCAAGGCGAGAGTAGCGGCCAAGATCAGTCCTCAGAAAACCTCGTCGGTAATCTCTTCAAAAGCCGCGATGCGCCATCCTTCTTCGGCTCTTCGTACTTCGGCCCTCAAGCCGCCGCAAAAATCATCCAAGCGCCCGCCCCAGAGCTGTCGTCTGGCCTCAGCTCAAAACCCCAGGCGGGATCAACTCATTCATTCAGAGAAGAGAATGGCCCCTTCTCTCAGATTTGGGATCTTCTCGGACTGCTGCCGCGCAAGAAGTCCACAGTCGACAGGCTGACGGAATGCTTCCTAAACGAGCTCAACTGGGCGATTGACGCGGTTCAGCCAACCTCTTTCAAAGCCAAGTACGAAAACTTTTGGTCTCGCAAGTTCGGCTTTGATGACTTTGCCACGATTGATCTTCGCTGGCTGGCCTTGCTGTTCATCGTCTTGGCCTATGGGGTCTTGTTGGATTGCCCAAGACCGCGGAACAGAGAGATTCAGCGAGAGGTCTACGATACGTCACAACGGTTTTACTGGGCTGCTCGAAGAGCTATCGTGATTGCCCCTACATTCTATGGCGAGTCAACGGACCTCGTGCGAGCTGGCGTTCTAGTCACTCGCTATCTCATCTACACCCGTCGTGTGCCGGAGTCCTGGCTCACAACAAGCTTCGCAATGCGAATGGCTCAAGCGCAGGGTATGCATATCGACGGTGAACGGTGGAGACTTCCCAGAAAAGAGACAGAGACCAGACGACGATTATGGAGCAATCTCTACATGCTCGACAAAACCATAGCATTAGCTCTTGGCCGGCCGTTCGCAATTGTAGATCAACAGTGTCTTGTTAAACAGGCCTCCAATGTTTGGCTAGACGACCTAGATGACGAGGAGGCCGCCTCAATCCCAGAAGCACCCCTTTCAGAGCCAACAGCGAGCGTCTTCAGCCGCCTAGCTCACGAACTTGCCGTGGTCGTAGGCAAGATTCAAGAGCGATGTTTTGGTCTGTTCACAGTCTCCTATGAGACTGTTCTCACGCTTGACAAAGAGATTGATACTTGGAGAGGTAGATTACCACCGTATTTCGAGCTGGAGGACCCGGACATTTCCAAGGACGACCGTCTCCCTTTCCTCCCCTGGCAGAGATTACATCTGCACAGCATGTACCATTTCGCAAGAGTCACACTTCACCGGCCGTTTCTTCTCCGTCAGTCCATCACAAATCGTTACAGACACAGTCATGATGTATGCATAGCTTCCGCCTGCGCAGACCTTGACATGGGTCTCAGGATGTTTATCCAACCTCTTAACGACCGGCTGAAGTGGAGTCTGGGACCACACAATCTCTTTAACAGTGCTCTGGTATTGGGCATCATTGCTGTCCGCGACCCTCATTCTCGGCGGTCTCAGGCCATCCTCGAGGACTTATCTGCATACTGCGAGATGCAGAGGAATGACGTCTGGCTCAATGAATTTGCCCTCGCTGAAGTCAAAATAGTTGAGCTCTGTGTCAAAAAGGCAAGGCAGTCTTACCCGCCACCAGGCAACCCCCTAGTTCCGCTAGCTCTGGCGTCAGCTTCACCCAGCAGGCGCTTCTCTCAGCTGGTTGGCCAACCACCAGTAATGGAGACACAACCTCAGTTGCCAGTTGAGAGTCCCGACTTTGATCCTCTGATGGCTGGTTTGGGCCTTCCTTACAGCACGACAAGCGCACAGATGACGTGGGATGATCCTGGCTTCTTTCTTCCTGAGAGCGGGGACTTGTCTCAATGGGAGCATGTTATCAACACTCTTATGCATGATCAAGCAAGCATGTGATCTGAGCGCGAATTCGAGAATGATAGTTTGAAGATCAACTATGAGAAAATCAGAAAGCCAAGTCTAGACCAGTGCAGGAGCTATAAGACAAGCTCATTCCAGTACCAGCTATCTCTCGGTGTCAAAACCGAACATACAATCATGAGAAAGATTTTGCCAAGTAGTTACCGAGTATTCGCTGTTGATACCAATTCAAGTCCAACAATAGCATGGACCCCAGACGTTCGGCGTTGGTTCAGATGAGCAGAAGAGTACTTAATCAATGAATCGTCAGACACCTCGTCGTCTACGACCAGTCAAGTCGACTTGCTAAACTATGCACCGGGAATTTGAACCTTCTTGGAAAAGTAATATTGGAGTTTCAAATACTTTGTGTTGCTCTCTAAATTCTTCGACCCCCCACTCGCTTTTGCCGCTCGTCATAGTTACAGTAGCTTTTCCTAGTTCCCTTACGCAGCGGGGCACTTATCTCCGTTCTGAGGTAGTTGATTAGTATGTAAAAACAGTATTTATGAGGAAAGGATAGACTTACCTCGGAGATGTCACCCGGCGCAATGCACTTGCAGCCATCCTTGTTGTAGCGGACGCAGCACTATCCACACAGTTAGTAAATTGTCTCAAACGAATAAGTTCATCTACAAGATCACTTCTGATCTCGAAGTGGCCTTCGTGAAGGATGAACATTTCGGTTGGCGGTTGGTAGTGTGACTTACCCAAGCACCGGCGCAAGCGGCTCCAACACCACCACAGTTGCTCTTGATGCACTCCATACGGACGTCGAAGACGCTGTTGCTGCTAGTGCGCTCAGCAGCAACGCTGGCCATAGCCAGAGGGGCGGTGGCGAGAAGGATCAGCTGGGTGATAGTAGAGAACTGCATGATGGCGGCTGGGTTTTTAAGTTGCTGAGAGAACTGGCTGGTTGGTTGGGTTGCTTATTGAAAGAGTGAGTGTTGGGTTGATTTATTGGCTGTTGATGAGGAATTATACTTGCCATGATTACTGAGTCTAGCTCGCTATTTGTACTTCTGATATGTTGAGGTACGGCATCATTGCCATTCGGCGTCCGGCACTGCCTTCCCCGGTCGTTGCGGTGGGCATGATTTTTCTCATCCCGGAGGCTGACAACAATTAATCTCATTCAAAATCTGATGCTTTATTTAATTACTTTGACTTTGTTTTGCAGTCCACAACGCGCTCTGTCCGAGTATCCGTGTCGGTTTCGGTTTGTTACGAGTCAGCGCAATAAGTATTACTTGCACAACGAACCGACCTGTCTTTATCCGTACCTTACTCGTAGCTAGCAAAGCTCCTTTGAGTTTTCCATACGGACACAATTTCCTACCAGGATAGCCAGGGTAAGATCCCGCGGTTACGGAGTATAATTAAATTGAGTCTTGGGCCACTTTTCAAGGGCGCGACTCGCCAACCTAAGATATTCGTATTCCATTCTTGCCTGAGTTCAAGCTAACGAGCTGGGAACTTTCCTATCAGAGGAATGATCGACACACAACTATTATCTATTCGTTGAGCATCCAATCCAGTCTGATTAAGATGGCAACATCATCACAACTCGTTGCACATTTCATCGCCTTTAAGCGTACGGGACTTCAATTTCCGTAGAACCCCATTGACGGTATCTCTAGTGAACCTCATTTCGTCGGACAACATAGAAGCCTGCCTGGGCCGATTCTTGGCCTTGTAAGGCTTAGGAGTCCCGGGTGTCGGAGTTGCCCCGCAAGGCATGTGCATTATGGCTATGCATATCCGCATTGTCAGTGGAGAACCAAGTCGCAACTCCGGGGATTTGGAAACTCTAAGTCGTGCAGGACGGAGGGTTTTACAACAATGCCTGATACTTACCTAAGCGGCATGGCTCTCGGAGTTCGGGACTGGAAGCAAGATATGCCATACTACCTACCCCTCAAGTTGACTAGCGATCCCATGAGACGGAAAGTTCTATGTAACAAAGAACTTGGAGTTGGCATTTCTGACTGACAAATATGTGGCGTCCATTTTTAATGTTCTCGGAGTGCTTTCTCAACTTAATGGAGTCCATTGACTTTGACTTCTTTCACTCCGTTCACACCGTTCACCGCTTTAACTCCATTTGCCCCATTCATGTTCTTCTGGGGGTTTTCCTCGTATTCCACCTTATTAACCAAACTTCCTAGGCCGTGGCTCATCACGATGCGAAGGTCATCCCCAGGAGCCAAGAAAACAGGCGGAGTTCTACTCACACCGATCCCGTGAGGAGTCCCCGTCATGATCACAGTCCCGGCCTCCAGCGTCGTGCCTTGAGACAAATACGCCACGATCTCGGCAATGGAGAAGATCATGTCGTCCCCTCTACCCTCCTGCATTATCTCGCCGTTGAGAACCGTCTTCAGCTCAATGACTGAAGGGTCCGGAAGGCTTCCTGCGCTGACGATACACGGACCCATCGGAGCGAAGCCGTCGAATCCCTTTCCGAAACCCCATTGAGCACCAGCGAACTGGTGCTTTCGCGCCGTGACGTCGTTGGAGCACGTGTAACCGAGCACGTAGTCCATTGCATCCTCCACACTGACATTCCTCGCGTCGCGGCCGATGATGACGGCTAGCTCAGCTTCGTAGTCCGCTTGCAGATCTGTTGCTTGATGGGGGATTAGAAGTGGTGCGTTTGACGCATTGAGACAGCTTGCGGGCTTGAAAAAAAGAGTTGGGTGCTCTGGTAGTTCGAGGTTCATTTCTTTGGCGTGCTTGCGGTAGTTGAGACCGATGCAACGGATCGTGCCGATTTCTTTGCGCGTCAGGGGCGGAAGAAGCTTTTGAACAGTCAGGATCCTTGGGGTTGGCTCAGCTGAGGCGTCCAAGGCTGAGATTCCCGTGAAAACGCGTGTCGGAACGGGGAGAGATGCGGCCAGGGCAGCTCCAACTATTGGGAGTGTCAGAGAATGTGGTTTGACTTGCGAAAGAAGAAGCGTTAATACCATCAACCGTCTCATCGACTGGTTCACCGATGTATTCCCTCCAATCATCTTCCGCGATGAATCTTACGAGCCGTTTCCATCTCTGAAGATCATTAGTAACAGATATTTGACGATTATTGTGTCACTTTGAGGCCCACTTACAGGAGTTATCATTTTGGTTGACTAATTTTGAGGCTCAGTTGACGAGAAGATTCAAATCGGCTGGTAGTGGTGCGCTTACAGCTCCAGGCAAATCCGAATGAGCTTGTTTGCGACAAGAGCAAACATGGCATCAAGTATGAGGCGGATATAAACACCCGCATCTAGGAGATAGACCTCCGGTTGTTGACCGGAAGCTGACTGCACCGGGTGACGTCGGTCATCCTCCGTGGTCGTGGCGTTTTCCCGATGGCTTCGGGAAATGTGATCGGCCTTTTTCTCAACACCACGACCAGTATCCGCACCAAGATAACGTCGGAGATCCTCACCCCGCAAAGCCCACCTTATTTCAACAAGAGATGGTTCGGTACCTCGTAGATAGATAAAGACTGGTGGACAATTATTTAAAATTCTATTAACAATCTGGGGAGAAACGTGGCTCTGTCCCTTTTCTCCAGACATGCACGCACGCAACGTCCACTCGGCCTCTCTGCCGGACCTATCTCCGGTGGGCCCGGCCCCCTGGAAGCCCGAAGGCTTGGGTCTGTCTTCCTGCGTGCATTTTTAGGAGCGGCAGCCCTTGAAAATACCCGTCTGTCCGTACAGACCTACCATGAGAGTCAGGAAGCTTTGCCTGATCAGTTGGAGTGGTGGCATGACTCTCCCACTGAGGCCGCTGAGGCCAAAGTTGTCTGCCACACTAGCTGATGGGCCAGCAAAATTTGCGACCCTTGAGTGGGTCACACTTTCATCCACCCTTTCCACAGCATTGGTAAAATCAAAATGAGCTTCGTCCTCCAACAACTAGAACAAGCACAATAGCTCAGGGGTAGAGCGCTGGGCTCATAACCCAGAGGTCCCTGGATCGAAACCAGGTTGTGCTAATAAGACTTTCGCCTTGAAAGTGTTGCCTTTTGCAGCTCCTGTCCTGGTCTAAGCAGTCCTTCCTTTTGTTCTCGAGTAGGGTGACAAAGAGTTGAACGTTTACAGGGGACACAAAGAACAATCTTGCCGAATTTCAGTTGGCTACTTCTTCGAGGTGTTCGTTACGCAGTGGGCGTGCCCTCTTTCACTGGAGTTCAACGCCAAAATGTTAATGAACGTCTTCATCCGACGACACTCTGGTCAAATCTCATTTCATTCCGAGCCTAACTCGATTCTGTTCACCTTAGAACCTTTTGTCAGGACTCCCCCACTGATTTTCGTTACCCGTAGTCGCTGGTGGTATTCAAGTATCGTGGACATATACACAGGGTGCTTGTAAGTGCCTCCAGTCGACAGCAAGTCTTCACCCCTCTCCGCACCATTTTCAACGTATTCTCCTGTGCCGTAGTTCAAGGTTTTACGTGTAACAAATCGATGGATCCGCCAACGCCCACCGACCATACAGTATCCTCGGCGTCGGAAATGACGCGATACAAGAACACATCGAAGACGCGTTCTATGTCCTGGTGGAAAGAGCTCGTCAGTATAGTCAGCACGAAGCACATGACAGAGTGGGAAGACCTCAGAGTGCAGGACATGGCCACTTCGTTCAGAAACCACATGCAATATTCCAACAGAATGCTAACCCGACATGGACACTTTTCAGTCTACCAAATACAGATCTCAACGGCTAACAAAGTTCTCAGTGAACTTATCCTAAGCGCGCGATATGACAAGTCGAGACAGCCCATGGTCAGGGCCAAGAGCTTGCGTCTCCGCGGGTTTTCGGCATCGGAAAGACGCACGTCTGATGATGGTGCTCCATCGGAGGTCACATGCGCAAGTATCAAACAATAGAGGAAAGAAAAGCTGGAGAAAGGCAAGAAGAGTCTTGAAGCTGCTTTGGATACAACGGCGCACAAGGCGAAACAGGCTGATGGGCGACAGAAATCTCGGTGGCCCGAATTGCTTGCAACTCCCCGGGAATAGAGCTTCTACCAGCAACCGGCAATGTCACGGCCTCAGCTTCATCAGCTTCAGAAATACTATGCAGAAGTATATTCGGAGATCCCGATGACTTTTGAAGACTTTTACAAACCTCCCAAAGACTACCAAGTTCGAGATCGGGCTGCTACTACTGATTTGTAAAATAGGGACTCGCACAGCTTCAACGAGGCTGTGGAACCAAGGAAGTGGGAAATGACCCGTCCGCCCAATAAGGCGCAACTTGTTTCTCCCGGGCGCCAGCCAGCTTGCATGAGCAACGAGTGTCATGGGTGGAAAAGATGGTGTCCAATGGACAAGGGCCTTTCAACCCCCGACTGTCCCATTTGCGAGGAGTTTTATCGAAGTTTTTCTGTACGAAGTGAAACGCCACGACTTGCATGATGAGTAGGCTCGTTTGAGCTGCGAGACTTTGCGCTGCGATTTAGTACTTCCAAAGACTGTGGATGTGCCTTGTAGCCGTATTGAGCTTTGGCAAATGCACAGATGTTCAAAACTTTGGCGGTTTACATTATGAGCATGGTAAGCAGAGTCGGGAATCCGACACCTTCTCAATACAGAAATTGTATCCTTGCCGTGACTGATTTTATATAAGTTGCATTGTATGAAGATGGATGGGTATAAAACTTGGTGCCCCGCATCTCCAGCCAGCAATTGAAGGTAAGGCAAAGGGTGCGTGCGTGCATGCGCTGAATAGAGTTTCCAAGGAACGGTACAGTGTAAAAGTTGGAGTTACATTCCAGAGATGTCATCCGAACTGCAAACAAACACTATTCGGAGCTGCGCAAACGACATCGAGTTCGTCCTTTCCAAGACCAAGCCCAATATATACCATGATCTAGTTAAGTGTCAACATCTCCACTCTTCAGAGATGTGTTCAATTGGCGTTGTGGCAGAGTGGTCTAATGCGCAAGACTAGAAATCTTGTTCCTTCGGGAGCGTCTGTTCGAATCAGGCCAACGTCGTCTTTTGATTTTGTCTCCTTTGGCCGGTCAAGCTTGGTCTTCTTTTAGACGCCTATCCAAATACCGCAAGGATTAGAGTGTTTTGGTATAGCAGCAGGCAGCTTTAAGGAAGAACTTATGTGATTGTTATCCAGGTGCCTGGAGTACTTCGTGTAGAGGATCCTGTTCGTTGACCTTTAACCCCATTGGGATTAGTTCATCTATTTGTAAGCGGGGTCTCATCAGACGACTTCCCGAGTCCCGGCTCCAAGCCACAGCCATAATCTACTTGACTACTTGGCCCGATCCAAGGAGATACGAAGAGCTCATCACAGCGTGACTGTCATTGCTGAAACATCAAACTGCTTCATCTCATATCGCATCGAATGACAGAGGCTGGACGAGGACACAGATACGCATTCTAGCAACTAACAGAAACGATGGAGACATCCAAGCCCAAAAGAGTCAGGAGGAGAAAGGTGAGTAGTTGCAACTCCTAATACCTACTCAGCCGGGTGAATGCAGCCTTCAATAAGACTGACAATGAACTTGAACCGTACAGGCCTGCGATTTGTGCTATCATAAGAAGATCAAATGTGATGCAAAAGAGCCACGATGTTCCGGTTGCAAGTTATACAACTCAGAGTGCACTTACACAGGCCCGACGAGGGCGACTGCCGTGAAGTCGAATCAGTAAGTCTTCACTTCTGCACTCTCCGCAGATAGAGTTTATCAACTGACAGTATACTCATAATAGAGCCAAGAAGATCGAGATGCTGGAAGCAAGACTAGCGCAACTGGAGGCCCAAAAACAACCCTCGCCCAAGGCACCCAACCCAGAATTCTCCCCAACATCGTTGGAGCCGGTTTCGGCTGCAAGTATCTCTGAAGAGGAGCACCATCTCTGGGCGGCAAACACTGACTCTACACTCAATGAATCACCCGGCTCCTCTACCAACCCAGGCTCAAGCATCTCAGGTCACGAGTCCAGTAAAACACTCCCACCACTGCGTCAGATCCTGCCTTCAATAGAGGACTACTTCCAGAACTCGAACCAAGTGCTCCCGCTGTTTGAGCGAGAAAGCTTCGTCAAGATGTTGCGAAGTTGGTACGCGTACCCGGCGCACCGTAAGTCAGACGTCTGGGCCGCCATCAACGTCGTCCTCGCCCTTGCACATCGGCACTCATACGCTTCGAGCTACGAGGAGACGCAACATATGCAGCAATACATCGATAACGTCCAATCCGTTCTGAACAAGTTAGTCATCAACGAGCCGAGTATGCTGGTCTTGCAGACTCTCCTTGGACTAGTCCTGGTCTTCCACGGCTCAGCGGATCAGGGCCCAGCATCCATACTTATAGCAACTGCAATTAGGCTGTGCCAGGGTCTTGGACTTCATACAAAGTCCACGGCGCAAGATTTCGAGCCGGCTGAGGCTCTTCAGAGGAGCCGAGTCTTTTGGATCGCATTCATACTCGACCGCGACCTATCAATGAGATTGACGCAGCCGCCTATGCATCAGGAGTCAGATATCGACGTGGATATACCGCCTCTTAATCCTACAGATGATATAGGCATGGTCATGGGCTTCTCTGGCCAAAAGTTCAACTACTTCCGCAGTACTGTTCAGCTCGCCTACATCCAGGGAAAGCTTTATCACATGTGTTTCTCAGTTCGAGCTCTCAAGCTTCCAGACCGAGAAAAAAGTCAGAACATGCTTCGCATCCGGAAGATGCTGGAAAATTGGCAGAACTCAATACCTGTCGAATTCCAGCCAGAGCTCGCAGCAGCGACCGTGGCCGCTGAGTACCTTCGATACATTTGCCTACTTCACTACACCCATCTGCAGCTCATCGCGACAACCCACTACGCTGACTCGCACCATCTCGAGTGGCTTCAAGGGCTGCTCAGCTGCAACAAGGGGAGCACCCCGGCAGCACGGTCCGATCTGGCAGCACGGCTGCCGAACTGCTGGGACAAGCTGGTTACGGAGGCGCGGACTTGCATGCATCTCTATGCTGCAACACCTGAGAATGACTCTGCTCTCACCTGGTATGTGGAATTCCCTCCTTCCATTTTCACAGTTGGTACTAACAATGTGGCTGCAGGCTAGTGTCGTGCGGCTACCTGACAAGTATAATGTTCATCACCGTCAACAACCTGGCCTGTCCAGATAACCCGTGTCGACTGACGGATCAAAGCAACGTCGAATCAGCCTTGCTCTTACTCGAACGGCTAATCAAGGCTACAGATGACGGAAGGCTCAAGAGGATTCATAGTGCTTGTAAAGAAATCAACGAGAGGGCTCGACTTGCCGTAATGTCAAGTTCGTCAGACATATTCTTACATCTCGATCCCCCTGGGCTTGAATTTGGAGATGAAGACCCTCTTGATAACGGAAGGTGGGGATTGGTGGACGGCAATTTTTGGACGATGAACGAGTATACCTCAAGTTGATCTGACCACTTGGGAGAATGGGGGAGCAGGCGTCGATGCGGGTCATAAGAAACATAGAATGAGGCAGGGTATGGTTGGGACTGGCATAGAAGAACAGTAGCGGGCGCAGCCTTGTGTTATTGTCCAAAATATAGCTGCTCCAGAACAAAATGCATCTTACAATCTTCTTGTCCGCAGTACATGCAGAAATATCTGCTGTTTTGTAAGACAATGAAAGATACCAAATCAATAATGCAATATTTAGATCTAAGTGGTTCATTGTCCGATTTTCGCCTGACGGAAGGTGCCTTCTGCTGCCTGTACTCCCGGTACCTGCCTGCCTGCCTATCCCTTCCTTCCTCCCCAAACGACACCACGCTCTCTCCTTCCCAACCCCGGTGCTTTTCTGTAAATTTCCTTATTTTCTGCTCCCTTGGGCTTTCATAAATTCAAAACCTCTTCCTCTCACCACCGAGTCTCTCTTCTCATTTCCTGCCGACCACAGTCAATTTCCCCCAATCTCTCGAGAAAGATGGCCGACTCCGATGCTTTTCACATCGCTGTAGGCATTCCGCAGCCTCCCGATATCGACGATGCGGACTTTGCCTCAGGGCTAATGCTTGTGTAAGCTCAACCATCAATGTTACGGCACCCAGATGTGGAAATTATATGTTGTTGTTCATTAACCTGTTGGTCTCCTAGTGATTCTGACGAGCGTGTCACCCTCAAATGTGGCAAAAAGGTCTTCAAATTCAGCAAGCCTAAGCTGGTCAAGGACTCTGAATACTTCAGAGCATGCCTCAACAAATCCAACTTCGTCGAGGGCAGAACTTCCGTCATCGAATTCGACGACATTGAGCCAGAGCTTCTCGAGACTTACCTCGAAATCGTCGATGTTACAGATACGTGCGATCCAATCGACGTCGAGGATTTCCTAGTCAGTAGCGAGTGGGACAACGAAGCTATGGATGACATCATTCCCATGATCGAAATGTACCGACTTTCCGATCGTTTCATGAACGAGTCTATACGTGTCAAACTGAGCCAGTCGATTCTGGAGTGCATGCAGAAGGGAACAGTCACAAAGGTCAATAAGTCATTGCCAGAGGGTATCAAATGGTTGTACAACACATACAAGATTGCATATGACACCTTGGATCCCAGCATTGCCGACGAGGCCAATCTCCAGTCCGAGATTGCGAAGGTTTGCTGCCAACAAATCGACATGGATAAAACCTACGCTTTAGCCCGCACAACTCCCGAGAGCGAGGCTTTTCTGGAGGCCGTGCTGATGGCCACGACTCAACGTATGGCTGCTCTCCTGCAGCAGACCAGGTCTCTCAGCACGAAGGTCGAGCGTCTTGAAACGGAGAACCGGATATTCACCGGGATTGGATACTTGAGATATTACACCGATCTCGTGGAAGCCTTCTCTTACTCCTACCATGATCAGATGCACGACGGCGATTCCATTTCGAGAGATTCTGAAGGAGATGATGACGAGGAAGATGGAGAGGACGACGGTGATGGCGAGGGCGATGAGTATGACGAGGACAACGAGGATGATGAGGACGAAGAAGATGACGACGACGGTGATGATGATGAGGACGGAGATTGTGGCGAAGACGGCGTGCGCCGAGATCATTGAGGACGGGGATTACAGCTCATTACTTGAGCATTGAATGAAGGTGGATAGTTGGAGGTAGGAAACGATCCAGGTTCTCTGTGATTGGGCTATTGACTCGTTTTTCGAACTCAACAAAATAGATCAAGACCTTAGAATACGATCCTCTCATAACCCTCACGAAACACTCTCAAGACTGTGAGGAACTATGGAGGCGACTGGGTACTTACGCAATGATCATTATCCAACCTCTTCTTCCGTATCCGCAGCTTTGACGTACGTACTCGCTGAGTTCTTGAGATCTTCAGCGCCTCTGTCGCCATGCCCGTCAACAGTCGAGCCGGTCAGTTAATTGAGGAGCATGTTTAAGTAAACCAACAGTCTCGTGTGAGTACCTAATGCATAGAAAGATGCGTCTTGAGCCAAAGAGCAGAAAGGATTTCTAGCAATCGCTCTCTGTTTAGCTTTCCTCTCTCTGTGACGTAGTCATTTTGCGCACATAGATGATTACGGCTTCTCGTCGAAGATGAAACTCGGCCTAGATACGTTTCAGGTCGCTAAGGCTGTGATCTTGCAACACGAGCAAAGGAATCCGAAAACGATGAACGCGACTGTTTCGGGCTACATTTGAAAGTAAATGCAAGCGCTTGGTTCTTTTACAAGCTGGATCTACTGGCGGTCGAAATAGTTCGGAAGGTTTTGCTCCATGTTGAGTATGTGTGGTACTCGTTGAATATGTTTGTTCTTCTGCAGTCGCATAATGTCTTTCTAACGCTCTCTGCCCAGCAGTAGGAGTAATCAATCGTCATATGGTACTGTAAGAATACCTGCAAAATTCGCGGCATTATTATAACGAATATGCAGCTCTTGCATTGCTCCAATTATCGAGTTACTCAGTGCCGAGAGCATCAGCACTTGTTCTGCGTACTTGCCGTCAATTCCTCTTCTCGCTGACGATTAGCGTTGGAGCAGGCGTCTGAAAGAGCCTTGACAATGATGCATCGAGCCGTTACATTGCATTTCCGTAGCTGGAATATCATACGTAAATCATTGGCTGCTTGCATGTGAAGCCAACAGGCTGTCCTGCAGCTTACTCTTTCGTGTTCTCAGTGGAGAGCCAGGTCGCAGTCTGATACTACACGGTACCAACAAAAGAAGGTGGAACTTTCTCATACTTCTGGGCCCGCTTACCTACGTAAAATGCAGCATTGGTTGCTCAAGTGCTCCGTTCGGGATACGTGGATGAAGTTGCGGGAGGGGCGCACACTTGGCATGGGTACGCCGAGATGATGATATGTGAGCTGCCGTCGACTCCCCGCAAAGAAGTCAGCAGAGCAGATGATGGCTGGCAATTGAGATTGAAACTCGCTTTCGCGCTCTGTCGTTCTCTCTTTCAGTCCTTCTCCCTTGCTCCTTCCACTTTGCAACGCTCGTGGATATCTTGCACACTCGAATTCAGATCATGGTATCCCTGTTTCTGATCCCGCTGGCGATTGTAGCCTTTGCCATATTCAAGCTGCGGAATGTAGGTCGACGGCCCAAGAACTATCCTCCAGGTCCTCCTACATTACCGCTGATTGGGAACTTGCATCAAATTCCACCGACACAATCGCATCACCAGTTCAAGCAATGGGCTAAAGAATATGGGTATGTTCAACGAGGCGCTCGCCTACATGGTTGGAAAGCACGAGTATCCATACACTAACATGAGGGTCTTGGGTAGCCCGGTCTACTCGCTCATTCTCGGCACCAAGGTCATGATTGTGCTCTCGTCCGACCGAGCAGTGAAGGACCTCCTGGACAAACGCAGCAACATCTACTCCTCTCGCACCGATCTATATCTCGGAAATATAGTCAGCGGCAATCTCCGCGTCGTTATGATGGTCAGTTGCTGGGCGCGTGGATGTTCTGCGAAATGATCTCAAGAGCTAACGGAACAAAAGCAATACGGCGAAACATGGCGCATGATCCGAAAGATATTCCACCAAGTCCTACACATCAACGCCGCCAAGGGCTACGTACCGTACCAAGACCTCGAAAGCAAGCAGATGCTATCCGGATTTCTTGAAGAGCCAGACTCCTTTGTCGATCACATCCGCCGGTTCACGACCTCGCTGACGACGCAGATGGTGTTTGGATTCCGTACGACGAGCATACATGACGAGAAACTGAAAAGGCTGTACCACTGCGTTGAGAAGTGGAGCGAGGTCGTGGGTTCTTCTACGGCTGCTCTGTTGGACGTGTACCCGCCTCTGAGAAATCTCGGGTTCATGTCGCCTGGGAAAAGATACGCTGCGGCGCTACATAAGGAGGAAAGGGCTCTGTATGTCGGACATTGGATGGATGCGAAAGACCGTGTTCTCGAGGGCACGGCAAAGGTGAGCATTGCCCCATATTCGAGATTCCGTATAAGATAGAGTACTGATCGAGTCTCAGCCCTGTTTCTGCGTGGGCATCGTCGAAAGCCAAAAGACTCTCGGTTTCTCCGACGCCCTGGCCGGCTACATCTCCGGGTCCGCGCTTGAAGCTGGTTCGGACACCACCGCATCCACGCTGACTGGCTTCGTCCAGGCCATGGTCCTGCACCCATCCGTACAGAAGCAGGCCCAAGAAGAACTGGATCGAGTCTGCGGTACCGAGAGACTCCCGAATATGGATGACTGGGACTCAATGCCCTACATACGGGCATGTGTCAAGGAGTCCCTGCGTTGGATGCCGACTGCGATCCTCGGCCTACCGCACGCTGTCATACAGGACGACGAGTATATGGGCTACAAAATTCCCAAGGGCGCAGGCGTCATGCTGAATGTATGGGCCATCAACATGGACGAGAACCGGTTCGAGAATCCCCGCGCTTTTGACCCCTCTCGTTACGAAGGTGACGAGCAGAACTCATTCGAGTCGGCGATGAATGGCGACCCGTCGAAGCGCGATCACTACGTCTTTGGCGCTGGTCGGCGTCTGTGTCAAGGGACGCATATCGCTGATCGATCGCTGTTCCTAAGTATTTCGAGGCTGTTGTGGGCTTTCAACCTTGAGAAAGCAGTTGATGCCGAGGGTAATGAGATTACCCCAAACGCGGAGAACCTTACTGACGGTTTTCTGGTCCAACCGAAGCCGTTCCCTGCGAAAATTGCGCCGAGGAGCGATGCTCATGTGCAGGTCATCCGAAGAGAATGGAAGGCGAGTCAAGCACTTTTGGACAAGAGTAAGCAGTGGAAGGAGATTCCTAGCGGAATGGTTTTTGAGTCTTTGGTGTCGTCAGATTTCAAAGAATGACCTGGTCGTGGATATTAGGGATGAACAAACGATCTTTTCAAGAACATCACAGCAGCTCAAATGACTGGATGAACTGTAAAAATTGTCATAATTTGTGGTATTCGTTAAAGTTGGAAACTTCGTCGTGCCCTTGCTTGTAGGCACTGGAGTCTCGTAGTATCGCTCATGCTTTGAACTTCTCAGGCGCCCTCTCCTCGGCCTGATCCTGAGGCACTGCCTTTGCCTTTCCTCTTCCGGGTGCGTTCTCGAACTTGTCCTTCCACTTACCCTCTTGGTTGAACATTGTGAGGCACTGGATCGCTGATGGCTTGCCGTATTCTGGGTCAGCACCACCCTCCAGGAGGACCTGTCGGAGTCCGCGTCAGCACTGTGAATGAGGAGTCCTTCCTCCCCATAATTTCCCTCGCAAACGTACCTCAATCACGGCATCCAGGCCCTTGAAGACAGCGCCCGCGATGGGACTTTGACGCTTGTCATTCAGTCTGTTGGGGTCAGCTCCATGCTGGATCAGGAGCTTGACCACGTCCGCATGGCCGTAGTATGCAGCCAACATCAGCTGGATGAGATGTTAGCCATGAGTTGACTCAAGAACCATCGTCAAGGTCTCCGGCTCGGACACTGAAAACAGCCTCCTCCCGCCTAGGAACAGCCACTGAGGTGAGCATCGTTACGCACCAATGTGTCTCCCTTTTCATTGGTCAGGTTCGGCGGCAACCCGTCGAGGATGCCCTCCTCAATGACAGCCTTGTTGCCTTCGCGGGCCGCATTATACATGCTGGCAGCCAACCTGACGGCCTCCAGTGATGGCGAGAACGCCGTAGCAGATGTCAACGCGCTCATGTTTTCTTCTGATGGATGTTTTGAGAACGACGAATTGCGCAACAGTCTCCGAATGGGTTTAACACTTAGTAATGCTGATAGTGAAAGTGGTTCCTTGCGGCGGAGGGCGACGCTAGGATGAATAGGACAAGCGAGGTCGTTGCCCAGCTTCTGCTAGGTATTCGGTGAGGACGGAGGGGAATGTTCGAGAAATGCCCGGTTAGTAAGCTGGGCTGCTGATTGGCTCGGACTGTGAAGAGACTCCGTGCATCACCGGAAGCCGTGGCTGCAGAGTCAGAAAAGAGTCCCACTTTTTACCTGCTAAGAATAAACTTGGACAAAGACCGGTTGTTCCACTAACACAATGCTCGCTTTCGGGTTGTCTTCATTGCCATCAACAGATCGTGCACTTAGCTATCAAGTGTATTTGCGAAGTTTCCATCCGAGAGGCAGTTTTCGGTTCCCAGTTTCGTGGTTAACTGCACTGCTATTGTCAATTAAGTTGCTGATGACTGATGACGTGAAAGCGCAACAGGAATAATATGTTGGTTGGACTAAACTTCCCAAAGTAGTATACCTTTTAGGGCGGTGCACAACTTACTTTTGTTACTCCCTTTCTAACGCATCTCACAAATGTGTCGTTGTAGGTTTTTCAGGCGACCCGGCACGAGGAACTAACCCAAGGAGACGTGAAAAGCATGGGAATATATATTAAACAGATGGAGCTCCGTAAATGGACTTGATTGCTACTTTTGTTGGCTGAGTTCCTTGAACGCTTGATGACCTTCCTGCAAAACTTATCTCAAGGTGACATTCCTGTTAGGGAAGAGACGAGTATACTCAGGGTTCGGGGTTGGTCGCTGTAGCTCGGCTAAGGTACAGACATTCTATCTTACAAGCATTCCCCGGATGTGAGTGGTAAATCTCCTCGGGCATCTGCCCTAGGAGATAATCCAAGTTATCTATAATGCTGTCATAACCGCCAACTTCCGAGGTGCCATGTGCAGACGCCCTCGCCACGTCAGGCGGTGATGCTCGTGCATGCACCAGAACTTACCGTATCTCTAGGTAAGGTGAACGCTAGTCGGAACACACACAGGATGTTTGTCTATGTTACTGGATACTGGTAACAGCGGGCATAGTGATGGCAACCACCAGCGCGTATCGTCGAGCAACAATCTTTCTCTGGCGAAGATGTGTAGACTGTAGTTTGTCGTGCTTTTTGAGAGCGGCACTTGAGTTGGAAAGAATCATCCTCTACTTAGACTTGCGTTGGCGCATGAGATGATCCCAGCAACGAGCCTTGCTCCTCCACAGCCCAGACCTCTTTCCGCGAGCCCGAGGGCTCCCAGAAAGGTACTGCATCATAGACGCAGCATACTCAGCCTGCTTCAAGCTAACCTTGGCAACGAAGTCCGGATGGGACTCCAAAGCTTGATGATGGCGGACGAGAAGATCACAATGGCAGTGCTCACAAAATCGTGCGACCATTTCATCCCGGAACTTGGCCTGGGCTGGATGGTCGACGTCGAGCGTGTCAAAGGCTCTCGCAAAGGCATCGAAGCAGCGGTCGACTTCTGCGCCGTCCGTCTCTGGGGCGAGGAGGTAGATGAGTGCAGTCAATGTGTTGAAGCTGAGAACGGACCATGCACTCCTCAGTAGCTCATTATTTTGGAGAAAGTTGAAGAGCTGACAAAGCTTGATGAGGCGCGTCCAGTCGGCGACGTGGGGGAAATGGGCAAGCGATATGATGCCAAACATACGCCCGAACTCGGGTGTCTTGTTGAATTGTCGATGTGCCAAGCCCAGGTACAAGAACATTAGATCAGCGTCAACATCGAGCATGCGGATGGTGGAACTCTTCGATTATTGGAAATCGTGGCTCAGGCAGGCTCTGAAGAAGTCAGAGTGCCTAGTGAGGAGGGATTTCTGAACAACAAAGGATTTGTCGTTGGCACACTCGATGACAGTGCGAACTTGGTCGCCTTCATCCCCGCTACTGCCGATTGTTAGGGAAACTTTTGTTGTTGTTGTTGTTGTTGTTGTTGTTGTATTTAACGCCGTGGCGGCCGGGCTAGAGCCCTTACCGCAGACCTCCCGAAGGGTATATGGCGTGGAGGGCCGTGAGCCAAGGCTACCTACTCTACAGTACGTCGTCTCTTTACATCGTCCTCCAAATCATGCCTTGTGGCCACTACGCGTTCTGTCTGTCCCCGGTTCCCGCTGGTGCCCCAGTTTCATTCTTTCCCAAATCGTCCCTTGGAATCGGGAGGTTCTTTGTAGTCCGCACTCACATCTACCTAGGTGTGGATGCTGCTACCGCAGACAGATCTTCTGGAAGAAGTCCGTCACGCGGAGAAAGGCCTCGAAGCCTCGTGGGTCGGTGATTAATCTCTTGAAGTAGGCCTCGAGAGATCCCATAGGACCTATGGGCTCGGGCATACTGCGAGAGTGGAGGGTCGGCCACCGTTGCCTCCTCGCCAGCGTTAGTCGACAGTAGACCAGGTGGTCCACGTCTTTCGCCTCTCCACAAGAGCACATCATTAGAGCGTCGTCGTGGTTGAAACGTCGGTGATATTGCTCGAAGTCCCCGTGACCCGATCGTGCCGCCAGCAGGTGATGTAACGTAGCCCGCGGCAAGGCCAGTTCAGGAGGGCTGGACAGAGCTGCCTCAAGCCCCAAGTCCGCGTACCGCGGCCTTCGCTCTTTATACCACCATCTCCTGTGCTGGCTTTGTAATTTTTTCCCTTGCAAGCCGCTTGATGCCCGCTAGTGTTGCCATTTGACCCATCCGCGCCGGCAGTGTCGTTCCTTCTTTGGCCAGCCGGTCCGCGGCCTCGTTTCCTTCGATGCCCTGGTGTCCCGGGGACCAGTGCGTCCGTATATCAAATATCCTGGCCGCTTCTTGGATTTCGAGGAACGCGTCTTGTGACGAGTCCGGCGCCTTGCCGCGGATGCCTTGTATAACGCTGGTGTTGTCGATACATATGTGGATTGGATGACCGCGATTGGTGAGCAGAGCCCTTCTGAGGCCGGTTCGCGCCCCTTCGACCTCGGCGTCGAACACTTCTGCTAGTCCGAGTCGGCCGCACCCTTGCGCTATGCGTTTGGAGTCTCGGTAGATGACGAAGCCGTACCCCACGGCTCCGTTCGTCGCCCTGGAGCCGTCCGAGAAGACGATCATATGGCTTTCCGGTACTGTCTTTAGCCAGCGCTCGAAAGCTTTCGCAGCCTCTTCTTTGCATTGAACTACTATCTGATCCTGTGAGCTTGGCAGGTACTGTGATTGGAGGAACGTTGGTCTTCCGCATCTTGGCAGAAGTTCAGCCGTCCGTTGTAGTCTCGTCTGTTGCTGTCCCTGCTGGGAGAGCCGCGCGACTAGCGGGTGTCGGCGATCAATCCTCTGTAGTCGGACTGCGGCCCGTAAACGGACGCCTTCTAAGGCGACTTTGGCTGACGGTAAGCCGGCGTCTCGGAGGAGGCTACTGGTTGGCGTTGTCCTCCAGACAGGTAGAACGATCCTTGCTGCCGCTGTAATGACGCTGTCGATCTTCTGCACGAGCCCCTTCTGGCCTGTGTTGACGGGTCTTCCTTGGAAAGGCGGACTCGTGTCTGTCTCCGCTTGGCGTCTCGAAGCCGGCTTCGTGATACCTGCGTACCATGTTTCGGCGCCGAAGAGCGCGATCGGCAGTACGTAGGAGACGACGGCTTTTCGCACGGCGGCCGCTGGCAGTCCTCTCTTTGTGTTTGTAAGCTGCCTCAGGTGTTGAGCTGCCTTCTTTGCCGCAGCTACTCTTGTGTCGACGTGGTGCCGGAAGGACAGTCTCTTGTCGAACCAGACACCCAGCCAGCGTACAGGATTTGTCGAGGCCTTGACCACCAAATCCCCCGCCCTGACCTCTGGCAGCTCCGCTGGCTGGCTGTGCTTCCTAGTAAAGTGG